TGAAATATACACCTATCTGAACTCTAAGTCTTATCCTGTGGGTCTCAGGATATGGTGTTTACTTAAGGTTTGTTTTTTAAAGATTTTTATTTATTTATTTGACAGACAGAGATCACAAGTAGGGAGAGAGGCAGGCAGAGCAAGAGGGGGAAGCAGGCTCCCTGCTGAGCAGGGAGCCCGATTTGGGGCTCGATCCCAGGACCCTGAGATCATGACCCGAGATGAAGGCAGAGGCTTAACCCACTGAGCCACCCAGGTGCCCCTACTTAAGGTTTTAGTTCACATTAACTTATTTAGCTAGGTTGTGAGTTTCAAGTTAATACATGAGAAACAACAAATAATCACTAGAGAAAATATGACCAACTTAGCTTCACAAAAAAAAAAAAATTGAGCATTAAGCCAGACACATAGTAGGTGCTCAGTGAACACTTATGTATTATTGATTACTTACTTTATTCTTCCCACTATATCACTTTACTTTTTTTCTCTTCCCACTTTCTAGTTCTCTATTTTCAATTATTCCTAACAAAATTTACATGAATTTCCACTAACTAGGAGTTATTTCCTTGCCCATTTGTCATCTTAAGTTGTTCATTGTTGCCATGCAACTATAAAACATGCTATCTTTAGTTCCAGGGAAAACTGCATATGGCTTAACAAATCCTGTGTTTATTTTCTCTTAAGTATTTGGTTACTGGATACATATATAATATAGAAATGGGGGAGGGAAAGCTGTTGGGGGAGAGGTGGACAGTGTATGTTTCTTCAGGGTACCTTATCTTACATGTTGTAATTAGAGGCTTTATTTTATGCTGAGCAAAACAGATTAGTAAATTTATCTTATGATTCATTTGATGACTACATGTTTTCTTATAAACAAGTTAATATTATTGTTTTTGGCAGACATTTAAGGTTATATTAATCTTAGAATTTTTATGACTCATTCATATTTGATTTTATAGCTGATACTTTTAAGCTGTTAGAAGTGCCAAATGCTAGAGTGTAAATACTGTAGATCAATAACCTGGGTTGAACTGTAGCCTTGAAGGGAAATGCAGACTTTTTTTTTTTAAGATTTTTTTGTTTATTTACTTGACAGAGAGCAAGAGAGCAGAAGCAGGGGGAGGAGCAGAGGGAGAGGGACAAAAAGGTTCTGCACTGAGCAGGGAGCCTGATCCAGGGCTCAATCCCAGGACCCTGGGATCGTGACCTGAGCCAAAGGGAGAGGCTTAACTGACTGAGCCACACATGTGCCCCATAAAATGCAGACTTTATACTTTTGAATAATTGAAGTTAATTCATTTATTTTAGATAGTAAGAACAGTCAATTTATTTTATCAGTCATATTTACTGATTTCTGTTACATACTTCACAATATGTGAGAATCTGGAGAGGATGCTAAAGAGGAATATGAAACATTGTTTCTACCATCAAGGAACTCTGTGGTAGGTAGACAATTTACCATATGTGAAAAAAGTCAGCATATATGCAAATACAAAACTCTCCTGTAAAAAACTATTTCTAGAACATTAGATTGTACTTTAGGAATTCAGGAAAGTGAGGGATTAGGTGGACTGGTGTGCCAGTCTCTCTAGATCAACTTTCATCTTTTTCAGTTTTTCCAAGTGGCATCTGCAGCCTGGGCCATATAGATAGAGACTTTCTTCCCTCTGACATCTGGTTTAGTGTTAACTCTGAATAGGTAATCTGAGGGAAGGAGGAGAATGAGGTCAGGGTAGGTACATTTGTGGGCCCATGGCAAGAGTCAAAATGGAGGCTCAGATACCATATTAACCATCAAAAACTAATTGCTTAAAAAACAAGTAGTTAAATAATATATGTTCTCTCCTTCTATTTTTCTTTTTAAAAGACATTTATTTTAGAAAGAGAGAGAGAGCATGATCAGAAAGGGCAGGGAGAGTGAGGGAGAAAGTCAAGCAGACTCCGTGTGGAGCATAGAGCCTTACGTGGGTCTCAATTTCATGACCCTGAGATCAGGTCCTGGACTTAAACCAAAAGATGGACCTTCAACTGACTGCACCAGCCAGGCATCCCTCCATCCTATTTTAACCAATATATTTTCATAATCTGAAACGTAAAGTATAAATATAGAGTTCCTCGGTTCATCAGAGTTCCAAACCAGAAAGTAGGAACATGGGGAAAACCAGGTCTGTACCTAGAGTCTACCTATTATACTCTTACCCAGTTTTACCTCCTCCCACTGACTTTCCTTGGCAAAGAGTTGCTCCTTGACTACACTACCCTCAGGCACAGGGTTAAGCCCACAAGCATTGCTGTACACTAGGAAAGCCTATATAGTTTCTGGAAGGAGACTTGGGGCCACTTTGGCAGGGAAATCCAGGGACAGCATGAATTCTGGGTGGCCACAGTCCCTTGACTCTGTGGACTCCATACCTTGTAGGGTTTTGTGCCTCTGAAGGAGGGCTGAAGCAGGGGTTCCTTTTGGTCAGGTCTAAGAATATTGGGCCAGACTTTTCATTTCTTCCGTTGTTTTTCTTCTAGATTCCCTCTGCTAGAGGATTCCTTCAAACAAATGTCACAGGTCCTCTCAAGGTGTTTTTGTCTACAGAACTTTCTAATTCCTCACCACTTTGGACTTTGGGATAGAAACGGCCCTGGGATATAATACTATGTGTTACAAGTATATCTTGACCACCACCTGCCCAGTCCCTTTGTCAAACCATCACCAAATAGTCTTAATTTGAGGGTACCATCTGTTTTCTTCTGGGATGGTGGCTAATACAGCTGGTTCCTTGAGTGAGATTGTACATGAAGATGAAGTTAATGTAGGCCTCAAGCTAAAGAAAGATAGGATTTAGAAATTAAAGGGAATTGAAAGGCTTTGGAATCCTACTTTCCCACCCCATGCCAGTACTTTTGCTCTGTTTGATATTTTGACACAGCTTAGAAGCATTCTTTGAAGTTTTTCTTAATTTCACACTTTCTTGTTTTCCCTCACACTGCTTGGATATTGAGAATTATACCTGCCATATACCCTAGGGTGACTCACTTCTCTTCCTACTTTTCTTTAATCAAACTTCAGTGAGTTTTTTATTCCTACAATATTTTGTGAAGTTATTTGGCTTTCACTTGATGGGAATGCATCACTTACACATTAGGTTTTCTCTGCTCTTTTCTCAGCACATGACAAAGTAATATTATTTGGTGTTATAGCAATCATAAACACGCAAAATCAAGTTCTGAGATCCTGTAGCAGTATTCCATTTTTAAGGAGATGAATGAGAATATGTTTATATTACTTTTTAAAGCCCATATGAACTGGAATATGTTTACACTAATTTTAAGTCATAGAACATAAAACAAAAATATTGAAATTACCCTAAAGAATAGATCCCCTTCCTCCCTCAGGATATCTGCCTACCTTAATTTGAGAAACAAGGACTTTCAGGACTGAATTGATGTGAGAGATGGGGAAAAAGTTTGGAATAATGATTCAAAGATGTCTGGTTTGGGTTACTGAATACCTATTTTCTATAATCAGGAGTAAAAAAAATGCTGTGAGTGAAAAGGATGAATTTGTAAAATCTCACTTTGAGTTTCCTGCAGTACATTTTCTTTGTGGTAGACTGAGCTGCAGATATAAATTTGGAGGTCAGCAACATCTACTGAAACCAAGAGAACAGATGGCCATTCAGGGAAAGCATGCAGAGTAAGAGAAGATGGCCAAGAAAAATAATAGGGTTAGAGAAAACAGTTCCTGGAAAGTAGCAGTTAGCACAGACAGAGAGAGGTATGTCAAAACAGAGGCATGTTTTAAAAATGAAATGGTCAATGCAGTCAGATACTCGAAAAGGTCAAGTAAGATCAAGACTGAAAAGAGTTAATCATATCTGATGATTAAGAAGTGATCAGAGTACACGCAATTTCAGTGGAGTGTGGCGGCAAAGTCTAATCAGCGAGCCTAAGAGCAAAGGGGGAAGTGAGGAAAAGCCGCTTATAATTCAAGATTATTTTTGTTTTGTTGTGAAGATGTAGCTATAGGCCATTGCAAAGGCAGGACTTGAAAACAGTGTAAAAGATTTGGGCTTCTGACCACCAGTGAGTGGCACCAGATGGGGAGAAAGGCAAGAGCCCACAGCTTAAAAACAGAGATCCTGGGGCACCTGGGTGGCTCAGTGGGTTGAGGCCTCTGCCTTCGGCTCAGGTCATGGTCTCAGGGTTCTGGCTGGGATCGAGACCCGAATCGGACTCTGCCCTGCCGGTAGCCTGCTTCCTCCTCTCTCTCTCTCTGTGCCTACTTGTGATCTCTGTCTGTCAAATGCATAAATAAAAATCTTCAAGAAAAAAAAAAAGATCCTAAAAATGGTTGAATCACTATATTGTACACCTGAAACATAACACTAGTTGTTAATTATACTGGAATTGGGAAAAAAAAAAAGATCCTAGAAGAGTGAGGAGATCAGTGCAAGGGTCAAATAAGAGATTTCTTAAGAGTTTGGAAACGGGAGGTGGGTGTAGTTATACACAGGGGTGGGGAATTGAGGGAGCTCACACATTGAACAGAACGGCTTCAATTTTCTCTGTGGAAAAAGGAGCAGGGTCCTTTGGCACCAATCTCAAAACTTTCCCTTCCAACTCTGCCATGCAGGGTGTGAGGTGCCGAGAAGACCGATGAAGGTTGACTTCTACTTAAATCCCTATCCCCAGTGGCCCCATCCTTGTGAGCGCCTACCTCAGATTCGTGAAAAGCCCCGAAAGCCCACCGTGTTTGTATTCTAAGACGTGTTCTGTAGCTTCAGCATCTTGAGGCTTTTACGGAAATAGAGCCTTTTTTTCCTTTCTTTCTTTCTTTTTTTTTTTTCCCCTTTTTTTAAGGCGAGGAGAGAAGCCGGGGAGATGAGATGCGGGAACGTGCCAACTTTTCCTCTTTGCAGGTCTCCCCGGAGGGAGGGCAGGTGGCCGCTGCTGTCCAGGTGTCCCTCCTCGCGGCGGCGGAGGGGGCCCGGACCTGGCGTGGCCGGGCGGAAGCACCTCTGCCATTGGCCCAGCGGCGGCTTTTACCTGCGCGGAGCCCGGGGGCCCGAGCTCAAAGTCCGCGACATCCTGCGGGAGAGGCAGCCGCGTCCGCAGTGCAGGTGGGCTCCCGCCCTCGGCCAGGCAAGATGCCCCTGGGGTTGCGGAGAAAGGTGAAAGCCAAGTCCAAGGAGGCCGCCCAGCTGGTGAAGGTCGAGCAGGTGGGCGCGGGCGGTTGCAGCCTTCCGGACCCCCCGCCTCCCACACGCAAGCTGGTTTTCTACACGCAGCTGGCCCACGGCAGCGCCACCGGCCGAGTGGAGAATTTCACCTGCGTCCAGGAGCTCTACGCCAAGATCGCGGGAGTGTTCGGGATCTCGGCGTCTGAGGTAAGGGCTGGGCGCCCAGGCTCTGGCTGGCGCGCGCGCCCCCCGCCCCTCCCACGTGCCGCGCTGGCTTAAGCCGGCGGGAGCTGGAGGGGCGGCGCGGCGTCTGCTTGCAGCGCCCCCGTTGAAGTGAGGAGCTGAAAGGTAAGTCCGGGACCACAGAAAGTCGCGTTCCCCGGGCCCGTGGCTTCTGGGAAACCCGGCGACTTTTCTTCCTCATGCAAATGAGTATGCTTCCCTTGTCCTGGAGTTCCTAGACGTTCCGGGCAGGAGCGCCTCCGCGGAGTGGAGATCTGACTGGGCAAGGTAACGCCCTCCGCTTCGCCTGGACTTCACTTTCCTTCCTCTGCTGGGGGAAGCATCTCCCAGGTTAAGGTAGGGAGAGAAAAGGGCCTGCTGGGTGATAGCACACCGAGGTCCCCTTAGCCCCTCAGGTGTGTTGTCTGGCCCCCAACACCAGAGCCCCCTTGGTAGTATCCCCTAGAATTTGATTATACCAAGGGTGCATAACGGAAGAGAGTTAGAGCTCACTCCTTGGGATGAGTTAACGACACGGTCAGAGGGGAAAGCGGCTCTAAATTTTACACCCTGTCCTTTAAAAGAGGCTGGACCTCGCCTTAATTAGATTGACTGCATGCGCGCCCGGAACCGAAGTTTGCTGTGGGAACGATGTGGAAAGCGCTAGTGTGCAGTCATGGGACTGCTCTGTGCTTACCCCAGCGAACTGCAGATGCAAGAGAAGCTGGCCCAAGGAAGTCTTTTGTCCACACTGGAGGAAAAGCATGAGATGTTGCCCCGGACTCCAGGGAGTGTAGGGAGCGGCTTTGGAATGACACAGCTGCACTTGGATTTCTGTTCTTTAATGCTGTTTATCAGGTCTGCTCAAGTAAAACTGAGATCGCGGCAGAATTCTAAGGGGAGGTGAGAGAGAGCTTGAAGTGTTAACCTTTTGTTCCTTCTGGGTTCCTAGGCACTGAGGGGCAAATCACAAACCCATTTTGTGAATGGTTTATGTTGACCTGGAGTAGTAACAGTATTTCACGCTCCTGTAGGACATTTCAATTCAAAAGGCACTTTCATGGGACTAATGAATGTCCTTTTCTCTAGGAGAAGCAGGTGCATGTAGGTCATTGGGTAGCTAAAGGACAGGATTTGGAGACACCTACGCCTGGATGTGAGTCCAAGTTCTACCACTTACTGGCTGTGTCGCCTTGAACAAGTTTAACTTTCCTCACTTTCAGCCATGTATAAGACAGATGAGAAGGGGGGTGCCTGGCTGGCTCAGTTGGTAGAGCCTGTGACTCTTGATCTCTGGTTGGTGAGTTCGAGCCCCACATTGGGTGTGGAGATTACTTAATCTTGAAATACGATCTTGAAAAACAAACAAACAACAACAACAAAACCCAAATGAGAACGTCTGCCTTGAAGGGTTGTAAAGACTGGAACTCATAAATAAACTTAAGAGATTGCATGGTGTATGGTCAATGCTTAACAAATTGTAATTAGTATTACTGATACCTAACAGTTAAGTGAGGAGCTGAGGTACAAAGTAATTGGGTCTTGGCCAAGGTCACATAATTAGCAAGAAAAAATCTGGAATGTTATTTAAATTTGAATATTCTGGTTTCTATGCTAAGTGAGCTTGTTAACACACTTAACTGACAACTTTAAATGTCTCTTCTATAGCCAGGGACTCCAGATTTAGTTGCTTTGTGTTAATAGCCTTCCTCATTAAGGTGCATGACTTTATTCAATCCACTTAATTCCGGAAAAAAATATTATTGATATCACTGCTTCAGAGAGGAAACAGGCTTTGAGGTTCACAAACTTTTCAAAATTATACATAGTAAGTAGCAGAGCCTGGGTTTAAACTCAGGTGTGTTTGCTTTTTGTTTTCTGACTCCAAATTCCATGAACTTCTCTTCTGTATTGTTTCCCAAGTTCTCCATGGTCTCTGGGATAGCTGGGCAACCATTTTCAGTGTTTTCACTTTCCAACACACTGAATTAGGAGATAAAATTCCGAGATAATATAATCCTGCTATATCAAACTTCATATATTTTTATAACACCAAATATATGTATTGGTATACTTATGCATGTAACCAACATTAACACAAGTTTTCTATTTGGATTAAGAATATTTAAATATATCCAAGATAAAGTATTGGTCATCATAGTATAGTATGTCCTAAATATTTCAATAGTTATTTTGAAACAAGTAACTAATTAAAACCATTTCTCGTGTCATTCCCCCAGCAAGGGGAATTACAGTATAAACTTTTGAGCTGTCAGTGAGAACAAAACAAATTTCCCCCCTTTAATAGTTTCAGTAGAGTATTAGCTCAGAATTCCTGCCTTTTTTTCTAGAGCAGTGGCTTTAGGATTATAAATAGCTCTGTATAGAATTGAACCTTCTTTCCTAAGGGGGAGAGGAAAAGGGAAGGGCTTGGCCTGACCTGATTTCAGGTGGGGCAGATATACTGGGAGTTCATAATGTGCCCATGACCGTACTAGGCATGTAAATAAGTTTGCAGCATGGTCGTTCCATCCTCACCATAGCACCGAGGTTGGGGTTCTTTTCACTTTATAAAGCTAAGTGAGGCTCTGAGAAGTTAAGTAGCTTGCCCAGAGTCACTGAGCAGGTATGGGGCAGGGTCAGGATTTGAATGCAGGTTTCCTGGTTCCAAGTCTATTACATTGCAGCTATGAGGTTCTAGGTAACTGCATTCAAATTTCAAATACAAACCCAGGAAAACGTTTTTAAAACAAAGGGTCTTTTCAGTTAAAGCCTCAGACCCCACCACAAAAATATTGCCTCAAAAAATGCTGTTGTGGGGACTCCTGGGTGGCTCAGTTGGTTAAGCAGCTGCCTTCGGCTCAGGTCATGATTCCAGCATCCTGGGATCGAGTCCCACATCGGGTTCCTTGCTCGGCAGGGAGCCTGCTTCTCCCTCTGCCTCTGCTGCCACTCAGCCTGCCTGTGCTCGCTCGCGCACTCGCGCGCTCTCTCTCTGGCAAAAACTATGACCCATTAGTTTTTGTGAAACTAATGCGGGTTTCACCTATTTCAAGGTCCCTGAAGGAGGAAACTAAGGAAACTATAAATCTAGGCTCTGAATCACTTTCAGGGTGCAGCCTGTGATCATTACCTTGAAACAGATGGCTAATTATGCAGAAATCCCTTTGAGCTGGTACTTTTTTCTAAACAACTAAATGAACAATTCAGCAAAAAGAACAAAGTAAATCTTGGTTAAAAGAGCGGTTAATTTCTGTAAGTGCAGGGACACTTTTACAAAAGTTTGATACCATTTTTAAAAATATTCAGGTTATACAAGGGAATTGAGCATTACATTCTTGAGCTTCAGTAGTAACATTTACTGAAGGGGCATTCTGAATATGTGACCACTGTGATTGACAGTAGATGGTGCCGTGACATGTTTTCTTAGTTCCCTATTATGTGGAACGACTGTAGAAAACAGTAATTCGAACAAGCTTTTAAGAAAATCAGTTTTGTAGTTCGATACCTCACATGTCCAAGAAATGAAAGCTCAGTGTCTTTAAAGATTTAAGAAATTATTGGGATTCCTGGGTGACTCAGTTGGTTAGGTGTCTGACTTTGGCTCAGGTCATGATCCCAGGACCCTGGGATGGAATCCCACATTGGGCTCCTTGCTCGTCGGGGATCCTGCCTCTCTCCCTGCTTGTGCATGCTTGTGTGCTCACTCTCTCTGACAAATAAAATCCTTAAAATTTCCTTTGACTTGGTTGTATTCGTTCATTTATGTATAATACTAGTTCATTGACTGAATGGGTCAAGCAAATGTAGCCTCTTCTTTCTCAATACATAAAGCCGTCCAAAAAAACTAGTATTCTTGGGAAGATCAGATTTTAATTTTGAGAACTGTGATTTTTAATTTCAAGCTTTATATGCAGTAGTTTATAAATAAGTTATACTGTGATTTCTCTCAACAAAACAGCTCTTCCCTTTTCACCTGCCCCATCTCCTGCTATTTCTCCTTTTTCTAGCAAAACTCACAAGTTGTTGTCTCCACTGAGACCTATCAAATCTTTTCTATTTGATCAGAACTCTATGATAGCTCCCTATCTCACTTACAGCAAAAGCCAAAATCTTACAATGGGCTATAGGCCATGTTGCCTCTCTAATACCCTTATTCCTCCTGTTCCAGCCAGTGTGGCCTAGCCATTCCTTGAACTCTGGAGCCTTGGGGCTGTTGTCTTTACCAGGACTTCTTCCTGCAGAATGCAGTTCCTTCTTTAAGACTACTTGAATCTCCCCTTCTCCGGCTGGTACTGATCATCCCATTTAAAATTCCCCTCCTCAGTTAATTTTCCTGCATAGCATACTCACATCCTATGTATATGTAACTGATTTGTCTTTTTCTTCTCCCATGTAGTAGAATATAAGCTCCACAAAGGCAAGGATTTTGTCTATATTTTTTTTTTTTTTACTGATACAGCCCCAAAGGGCCTAGAACTCTACCTAAAACTTGATTGGAGCTCAAGTATTCATTGAATTAAAAAAATCTTCACACAGTAGTTAAAATCCTGTAGCTTCAGTATGCAGCTTTAGTACCAGTTACAATAATGATATCTTTTTTTTTTTTTTTAAGATTTTATTTATTTATTTGACAGAGATCACAAGTAGGCAGAGAGGCAAGCAGAGAGAGAGGGAGAAGCAGGCTCCCCGCTGAGCAGGGAGCCCAATGCGGGGCTCGATCCCAGAACCCTGAGATCATGTCCTGAGCTGAAGGCAGAGGCTTAACCCACTGAGATACCCAGGTGCCCCACAATAATGATATCTTTTGTAGATGTTAACTTTTCCTACTGCCGTGTGAAGAAAGACTAGCTTTTGATGGCGGTAGGAATGAGGAGCATCATTTGTACTTTGAAGAGGATGGGGAGTAAGAGGGTGAAGTATGGACACTGACTAGAAAGTATGGAAATGAAGATTTTTATGCATTTCTTGTATCTCTAAAAATT